ATGACTCTATTTTTAACTAAAACAGTTGGGAGTAGGGCGTGGCTCAGTAGCTAGAGAGAGCAGAGAGCAGCAGTCATCTCGGTTTAACAACTAAAACAGTTGGGAGTAGGGCATGGCTCAGTAGCTGAGCATTGACCTATGAACCAGGAGGTCACGGTTCGATTCTGTGATTAGGGCATGCAGTGTGGGGCATGCAGAAGGCAGCCGATCAATGATTCTCTCTCATCATTGTTGTTTCCTCTCTCTCTCTTTCTCTCTCTCTCTCCCTCTCCCTTTCTGAAATCAACAAAAAAAATATATTTTAAAAACTTACAAAAAGAGGTATAAATTCAGCAACATTTAAATTTATTTTTTATTAATTCTATAACTCTTCACATACATGTGAAAACATACATTGATAGCACAGTATTTTATCTGCTAACAACGCTGGGTGCACATAGGGACTCTCAGGTCTTTGATAACCCATTGGGCCCACAGCTCACAACTTGGGAGTTACTGAATTATGTTGTCTCTCAGGGTGCTTCCAGCTCTAAACCACAGTTATGACTCTGTGCTCATAACAATAACTTTTAAAGCATAAGTTGCATTCAATGTGTAAATTCAAAGAGAACAGGAAAATGTGCAATGTGTCTTTAAAAGATCTCCATTGAAGTTGATGGTGATAGAGTTTGGTGTACGGCCAAGCTTCAGTGACCTGGACTGTTTGCTTATGGGGATCACTTCCCGCTTTGGCAGTGAGGTGTAGCACTCACCCTGACAGCGGACCAAGGCGGTAGTTGGACCAGCTTCCCAAGCCTTTCTCCCCCTACAAACCCTGTTATCTGTCATCTTAGAAGGCAGGAAAAAGGTAGTTATACCTCATTTTCTTAAAAGAGCACTAAATATCCTGAAAAGCTTTTTCCCAAATCTTACTTCACTAATTGCAAATGGAGACAGAAGTCAAAGATGGTCAAAGGACATGGGAAAGAAATAGATGTCCAGGCTATCAAGAAAATACTTAAAGGAACAGCACCTAGAGCCAGGCATTGCATCTTCCCCTAAAAAGGCATTGGAAGGAGTCACAGTAAAGATGCTTGGAGATGAAAAGAATCAGGAGGTGTGATGAGGCCGAAGGATGGCCCCTGAGGGTATGACAGACTTCATTGCCAGATTTTAAGACCCTCTGTGCTCGCATCACACATTATTTTTAGCTGCTTTTTCATATTTAAAGTAGACTTACTTATTATTTATTTTTTAATGTATGAGTGCCCCCAAAATTACAGCATCCTGCTGACATATATACATGTACGTGCATAATACGTGTGTACATTCCTGAACTTTCTCGTAGAGGCTTCTAAGAATATAAGCAGTATTGAATCTAAACTGTACATAAGATTAAGTTTAGCTTCAGTTTTCCCAGAGCAAGAGAGGCACGATTTTGCCTCCCCGGGTAATTTTTAGTCTGATTTCCAAAACGATGAATCCACCCTGAAACACACTGGCCCTGTGCCCTCACCTTTAGGAAGTCACAAATGCAATATGAATTTAGGACCTGAGTCCTACTGGAACCTGCCCTTTACTAGTGTATGCTGAGATATTTTCCCCCAAGGTGTACTTCATTCTGCATCATTGGAATATGACTTTGGGGCAGCCTATAGGGGAGTTAAGCATTAGCTGCTGTCTGCTGCACAGCGGTCAGTGAGCGAGAGCATTCCAAAGGCCTGCCTCTAGCTGGAGTCATCCTGGGGCCACAAACACAGCGCTGCAAAGCTTCTCGGGCCTCTCTCCGCTACCTCTCCTCCCTTCTCATAGGAAAACGAGTTTATTTTTGCCTGATTATCAATTCTCCCTCCATTGGTCACCACTTCAGATGAGTTCTTCTGGTTAAAAATAATAATAAAATGGAGCAATGGGCCAACCATCGATCCTGTGCCTCTGGCCACCTCTTTAATTCCACAGTCACGTGGCCTGCTTTCCTGCACTCTTCCTGCCATGGCATTTATTATTCCCGCCGCCACTTTATGCCAAAGTACTCCCTCACACAAAACAACATAAAAATCGGCTTTGAGGTCACTATTACTTGTACTTGAAGATCTGTCTTCACCCCAAAGTGGCACTATTGGCAGGTCACCTCGTTCAGTCTCCTTCCCAGAGGTAGACAAGCCTGTATCACCTCAGTTCTCTTTAAAGAAATCGGGCCTTTGCCCAGCATGACTTTGCCTTGATCGAGGTGTATGTCCAGCCTCGCTCTAATCCATGGCCCTCTCTGAAGATCAGAAGTGTCATTGAGGCAGTTTGCTTGGTTGCTGTGGCTGGGTGATCCTAAAGAGTCATTTCTGGGTTTGGTGCCAGTTGTGGGAGTCTTTATGGTTTAAACAGGGAGGGGCCTTTAGTAGAAAGTCATTGGGAAAATGCCCAGGCACCTGAGGTGTAACTGATGTTTTATTAGAGGCAGAGGCCAAGTTCATATCATATCCCCTGTGACTTCAGTCACGCTCAGGAATGTGCAAGGAAATAGGTGTAGATTTCAATGAATAAATCCCTATAAGTCCCATTAAGTTGGGTAAACATTTAGTTCCACTCTCGGTAGCTAGTGGGTTCCCTGGATATTCACAACTTCCCCAAGAATGCCCATCAGTCGGGAGGTGACCTGGCCTTTAAGGAAACTTTAGATGGAAAGAAGCAAATGGGCTCCATCCAAGAATGAAATTCAGCTACATATGGGTGGTGGTGTTCTGAGGATCTAAGGATCTTAGCAGTGTTATCACCCATGGCTAGGGATTCAGTTACTGCTGTTAACCAGGCGGTTCTACCAGCTACCAGCTGTCTATCTCTCTTTGGCAAAGTCCGTTTCTATGGTTTCAGGCTCACTCCAATCCTGGCTGGGAAGAGGAGCACCATGTCCACTTGGGGCATACTTGGTTGGCACCATTCAGAGCCTCCAGCAGATAGTCTGAAATGACTGCAAAGGTAGCAGAAAGCAGAGACGTCTAAGCTGAAACATCCCAGCACTTGGGTAGCCCTAACAAAGTCTACCCAATTTCATATAAATACTTAGACAGGCATGAAATGGATTTTCTGGATGTCTGGCTTTTCTTCCTATTGGCTTCCCTCTTCATTTTTGCTGCTGCTTCCTATTTATTTATTTATTTTCTTTTTCTGCGGGTTTTTTTTTTTTTCCTTGTTCTCTTGCTAATTCTGATCCAACCAGGTAGCAATGCGTTTTCCAGGGAGCCTTTTAAATAGTGTCTTCCCTAGTCTATTTAGTGGAAATGCAAGCTGTTTCAGCCTGTTAAGGTAAAAAAAAAAATTTTTTTTAATATTCCCTTTGCATATTTTTAAGTTAGATAACAATTCCTCGCTTTTGATAGACTCTACCCAAATTAGAAATTTTTCAGATTACAAATACTAAACTCAGCAGTTCCTCCCCCACTCCCTCAACCCCCCCTTTTTTGTTGTTGTTGCTGAAGAAAGTTCTAGCCCTTTTGCCTATGCCCCTTTCACACACAAGGCTGCCCTTCTGGCCACACAAAGCCAATTGGAAACATGGACAACAGCGGTGTGAGCTCGCTGCTCTCAGGGCCTGGTTCATGCCAGCTGACCACGGGAGCCAACCCACACCACTACTGTCCCAAACACACTTTTTGAAAACACCCAGCCTTTTTGGCTTCGGTGTTTATCTTTTTAAGTGGGAGCAAGGCAATCTGCTGGCCAGGTCTTCATGTGGGTGCTGCCCCACCCGAAATGCGATTTAACAAAAAGCAGAACTTCCTACATGGTGGGGATGTCGGGTCTGCTTCCCCCAAAAAACACAGAAAGATTGACGCCATCAAAGACGTGCTGGTCTGGCCTCGGGACAGCCAAGACCTCGCTGGAGGGGCTAGAGCCTGAGATGGGACTTAATGGCTCCCCTGAAAAATGTTTTAAAACGCATGCGGCTCAGCTCCATGTTAGCCCTGCAGAGTCCAAATAAACTGGACCTGTCAGGAAGCGGCGCGGAGCGAGTGTTATGAACAGACTCCTTTTGTGAAGCTGGCGCTTTCCACGCCCAGAAAAACCAGCCGAGGGTAACGCCGGCTCCCTCGGCGTTGATTTTGGTCAAATCCCTCCCTTGAATGACCTCAATGTAATTTGGGTAGTTATGTGAGACGTGTTGCTTTTTCCTAGTTTTCTGGAAAAGAAATTAAAAACGGGGGCCGCGCAGATGTTGCCCACGGTGCGGAAGGGCTGGACATGCCGGTGGAAACCATGCCCGGCTTCCCGAGAGCACCCGCTGGCTTCTGAATGAAAGCCTTGTTACCTGGAAGTGTTTTCAATATAAAGTTTGGCATCACCCTGTGGAGCCGCGGGAAAGAATCGGCCCTTTCACACAGAGCTGCCGGTCCCGCTCCCCGAGATCCGTGTTAGCATCGGGCCCTCGCTAAGCCTGCGCCCCTTTGAGAGGAAAGAGTCCCCTGATTCCTGGTTCAGGGCTAGTCCACCTTCTTCTGATTCAGCCCAGCAGAGGCCCCTGCTGGCCAGGAAGTCCACCCTCACGACACGGGTAATGCTGGTTTTGTGTGTTTAAAAAATTGCCCAGCACATGTTTTTGCCACTCTTGGCGGATGGCCGCTGTGCCAAGCTGTCAAGTCTGTCCTAATTAATGGCCCGACTGCTAAGAACCCTGATTTCTAGAGTCAGAACCAAAACCAGATCCCAGCCCATAAAGGCTAAGGTCACAGATGTGGGCACTGTAGGTGCAGCCTCCCTGAAGAGACCCAACCCCCCGC